CTCCGTCCACACCTTTCCATTTTTGGAAACGCTCCCTTATATACACTTACTTCTATATACGACATAAGTAACCAATCGGAAGCTCAGAATGTCCCCTAGTGACTTTTTCAGCCATTTTAACGTGATCGAATGCCATTTCTTTCTTTCGAACCAAGATTTCAAGAAGGTAGGTTCTGTCTTTAGTCTGCTCAAAATTTCATATTTTTTTAGACTGAAATACAGATTAGTTACTAAGCTTGTTAAATTATAGTGTAATTCTATGGTATATAGTAATTTATGATTTTGTAGCTATTCATATGTAAATATAAAACCTGAAAAAAATTACTTTGTTTCATATGCTCCACGTGCAAATTTTTAAAAGGCTTAGCAACCTACATCAACCAGCTACCGAGTACAAAGGTTGTAACTGGAAGAGATAATTGTCTACTTTACTTTTTTATTTACTGTTCTACGTTTTAAGAAAAATAAGTTTAAGAATTTATTTCTAAATAGCAATGATATATATACACACATATAATGTATAATAATTGAAATGTGACTGTATTTTACAAAATACTAGTCTACTAAATCACAGCCAAGACAGGTCACTTTGTAAAGACTAAAGGTCAGTTTTATATTATCGGACACTGTAACATGAGTGCACGTGCGCCGCCTCATTGTAGCTTTTGTATTGTTAGCCAGGCATGGCTGATAGGTTAATATAATAAAAATAATAAATATACATAAATGTATAATGTTATGAGATTTAAGCTATTTAGTCTAAACATGTTTATGTTTTCGTGTTATAATTGTAGTCATTCTAGAAAGAAAAAGGCATAATTTATATCTATTTCCAAATTTTTTAACGTGGTTACGAGATCGGTCAAATCGACCAAACCCGTACAGAAATTCGTTACTGAAAATAACATATAAAAAATATAGATTTTTCTTAAGAAACGTTTGTTAAATATTTGGACATAATAAAAAATTTCGCATGTGAAATTTGAAAATTTTCTCATGCACAAAAGTATTTTTAAATCTTAAAATGAAAATTACTTTGCATGTCGGATAGGCAATATGCCAAAAGAAAACAGATAGGCATAAGAGAAACATTGCTTTACAACCCTTAATAAATAAAATAATATTTTGCTTATGAAAGCATTGTGACGTTTACTGATAATCTGCCAAAGTTCGTTAACATACGCTTACTAATTTAAAAGTTATAACACGAAAACTATAACAAGCACAAAATGGTTACGAGGTCGGTCCGAGGGAACCAAGCCCGTGCTGAAAGAGTTATACAAGACCGGTACTCGGATCACTGAAATCCTCGAGCCTAATATCTCTGATCATCTTCGGGCATAATATCACTCAAACTTTGAAATATGGTGACGCGTAAAGATTGAAGTTCAAACTCCACCATCATACTTAGGAAACAACTGAGGATTTTTCAGAACGCGTGTTTGTTAATGTGCTTGACAAATGGCGAAGTATGTTGAGGTCGAAAGAATTCATGTGGAGGTGGTATAAAACCTGAGAGTAGATATTTGAGGTATGTTGAATTCGTGTGGTATAAACCTGAGAGTAGATATTTGAGGTATGTTGAATTCGTGTGGTATAAAACCTGAGAGTAGATATTTGAGGTATGTTGAATTCGTGTGGTATAAAACCTGAGAGTAGATATTTGAGGTATGTTGAATTCTTGTGATATAAAACCTGAGAGTAGATATTTGAGGTATGTTGAATTCTTGTGATATAAAACCTGAGAGTAGATATTTGAGGTATGTTGAATTCATGTGGTATAAAACCTGAGAGTAGATATTTGAGGTATGTTGAATTCATGTGGTATAAAACCTGAGAGTAGATAGACGAACAAGTACTGAACCGCATGCCATTATCCTTGTTTTTTTTCTAAATATCAACAAGTATTTGTAGACAACCTGTACTAAACAACTCTGATAAATATCTACAAGTAGTTGTAGACAACCTGTACTAAACAACTCTGATAAAAGAGTTTGCACACAGGATCAGACACAAAACGTGCAATAAATTCAAAAAAAGACCCAAAACTCGAGCGCTTTCTAGTAGTTGACTATAACACTTTAGTATTGGGTCTTTTTTTAATTCATTGTACTAAAATACTGTGCTTGATACAATTCAAAAATGTTATAATACTTCAAATGCATCAAAGGGACCTTTGAGTTTATTAAAGCAAACTTAAACATATTGAAACTGTTGCGAAACAAATCATTGAAAATAAAAATTCCCATTGATGACATATGTAATAAAATCCCTGTTTGAATCCTGGGGTTTCTTTCTCCCATTTAGAAAACAAGTACGAACGGACGCAGTGGTCCCATGAAAACATCAAAGTTGTGTTCAATGGTCTAAAAGGTCATTTTGTGACCAATTGGATTGTGTAACGGTTTATCCATTCAGAAAATCTTATTTAGTGTTAAGAAGGTTGTCTAACGATTTGTTCATCTAGAAAAGGTCATTTTGTGACTAATTGGATTGTGTAACTATTTCTCAACTTATGGATTGTATAACAGTTTGCCAATTCATAAAATGACACTCAGTGATTAGATGGATTACGTAACAGTTTTCTAAAAATTCAGAAGAGGCCATTTAGGAACCATTTGCATTGTGTAACGATATGATCATTCAGGAAATGCCTTAGAGACCATTTGGATTGTGTAATGATATGATCATTCAGAAAATGCCTTAGGGACCAAGTGGATTGTGTAACGATATGATCATTCAGGAAATGCCTTAGGGACCATTTGGATTGTGTAACGATATGATCATTCAGGAAATGCCTTAGGGACCATTTGGATTGTGTAACGATATGATCATTCAGGAAATGCCTCAGGGACCATTTGGATTGTGTAACGATATGATCATTCAGGAAATGCCTTAGGGACCATTTGGATTGTGTAACGATATGATCATTCAGGAAATGCCTTAGGGACCATTTGGGTTGTGTAACGATATGATCATTCAGGAAATGCCTTAGGGACCAGTTGGATTGTATAACGATATGATCATTCAGGAAATGCCTTAGGGACCAGTTGGATTGTGTAAGAAGTTTTTCAATCAGAAAAGACAGTTTGGTAGCATGATGTATTTTCTAAAGGTTTTTCCATTCGGGAAAGGCCATTTAGAAAGCAGATGGATTCGTCCATTCAGAGACCACTTTGTCGACGAATTTTACAAGTCAACCAATTACACTAATTAGTAACAAACTAAACAACTGAAACAATGTAAACAAAATAATTTGTTAACATAATATTAACATATTTCGGTAATTTGTCCAATCTCTCAACTATGCATCTTTGAATAATGTACACTATATAATGAAATCTCGCTAATATTTCACGAATTGATTTAAAACACTAGAAAAAGATAGGCATACACACAAAGTAATAATTGAAACCATACATAATTGGATGATTTTAACCTCTTCTACTTATGTTAATTATACATAATATCCAATCTAGATATCCTTATCTTCGTATTTCGTCAGTGTTCTATTATCAAAACATGTTGATACAATTTTCAGCTTACCTTTTTTACTTCTGTGTTTTCTCAATCTCATGATTGTTACGGTAATCACTGCAGCAAAAACCAAAGTCAGAACGGTTCCAATTAAAGCTCCGATAACTGGACTAATAACGGGTCCGTGATTACGTCCTGTCGAAAACCAAATTAAGTACATGAATCTCTGCCTTCAAACCTGGCAATGCTTGTAAAGATAAAATTAAGTCACTTCTTGAAATTAAGTAAGAAGTGCTTTATTTTTTAGAAACGAGACCCAAATTAAACAATTCATTTTATGAATTTTTATTGGAGTAAAAAAAGAAAACAAGTAAGAATTGGAACACGTGACTAGTGTTCAAAAGATGTAACATAATATACTTTCAAAGTTTTGTTTTAATGTTGTAAAGAGTGGTATTAATGGCAACGTATTGGGGAAGAACATTCTATTTGATGTATTTTGTACCCCAGTAGCTCAGCGGTAAGTTTGAAGGTTTATAACGCTGAAATGAGGTTTCGATACCCGTGGTTGGTACTGTACAGACAGCCCATTGTGTAGTTTTTTTTGTGCTTAGCAAAAAATACACAAACATAATAGTCGCGTAAAGTTACTCAATGACTATCTGCGCTGATTTCTTCCTTATAGATTTGACTGAAAGCAGCTAGCGCACAGCACTCACGCTGACCTTTGGGTTAAACTTGACTGACCAAATAGAGAGATGTTACTGTCCACTTTATAACTCATCCACGGCCTTTAAAGTACGGAGCGCAATTTGTTGCAGTATCGGGACGCGAACACAGTATCTGCACACTTACGTCCACGTATTTTGTGAAATGGCAGAGTGCAACACGTAGGAGCGTCACTAATCATTATACGACTGTATAATGATTAGTAAGATAAAGGAGTAAAAGGCTTGTACTACTGTATAATGATTAGTAAGATAAAGCAGTAAAAGGCTTGTACTACTGTATAATGATTAGTAAGATAAAGCAGTAAAAGGCTTGTACGACTGTATAATGATTA